CTTTTCTTCGCTGCTGCCAACATCTCGTCCTGAAGCATCTCCATCAACTCACAACGCTTGCGTGTTCGGCCATCCGGGTCAAAACTGAAGCAGAACGTACTCAGTTGGCCTCAACTGATAGAAAACCTCCGTTTGAAAGGACTCACTAAACGGTGCCATATTTCCAGTAGTTGTCTCTGGATCGTTCCCAGTCCCATGGTGCTGCCCTGCCTCCAGCTAAAAGAGGCACAGCTATGTGGTGAAATGCATGAAATTTATCTCACTAATAACCTACCTTTATTCACCCAAACTTCGATTTTTGTAAAACTATAATAGCCTGTCAATACCATTCCTGTAACCAGAGCTGTCGCTAGAAAAATGAACGGATACACCTCATATGCGTGACCAAGCCGACGCACCATAAAGCTGAAACGGCCGATATCACCACTTAAACATTGGTTTTTTTTGCTTCAGAAGCTGGGCTTGTCAAGTAGCTGGGTTTGGCGCGGCGCCAAGTTGACTTGCACCAACTGCTGTCGCTTTCCCGCTAGAGCAATTGATAGAGAACGGCCCGTCGCCGCACCAAACCTACTCCACCCCCTGATAAGCCCCAGCGTCTGCAACGAAAACGACTGGAATTGGTTATAAGGGATGGATGACGTGCCGCTGACGTCACACAGAACGTTAATGACGTGTCTTGCGACGTCACTAGCAATCATACAATACAGGTGAGACTCAGCGTGTTAGCGTGACACTCTCCTGACACCTGAACGCTTTGAACCACTGACTCGTAACTTTCAACTTCCTTTCCTCTAGATCCGAAAAAAAGTTCTATCGAAACTCTAGACAAGAGACTGACGTTGTCGGTGTATCGCCTTGCAATACTTTCTTGCTTGCAATCGTTTTAGGATCACGAGAAAGGTTTCGGCCGTAGCTGAAGAAACCCTGAAACATGTGGATTGGTTGATGACGTGCGCACCATGCTCGCAATTATCATTTGGTTGGGGATTTTAGTGCGAGTCCGTAGAACCCCCCCCGCTTTTGGAGGTTGGTACGATCCCCGCCCCCGCCCCCCTCCGGCCCTCTGTCCCTCCTCATCGAATCAAGCCGTCGAGCGGAGGAGAAGGGGGGGAGGGGGTAATATAGTACACATGAAACAGGAAAAATCAACGAAAAGTCACCATCCTAGAAAGCCAGCGAAGTATAATACGACCCTGTCCACCTCCCAAAATGAGCAAATACGACCCCCCCCCCCTTTACAACGTCCGTGAAGCGAGAAAAATCAACTATCAAAATAAATTTTCTCAGCCCAAATACGACCCCCTCCCCTCTCCTGGGATTCCCCAACAATGATATCGCCGTGGTTGGCAAATGGACTGCTATGAGCCTACAACAGACTGTGCTACATTTTTTTGGGTGCACAAAAGAGACAGACCTTTGGGTTGAAGAAACGCTCATCTTTCTAGGGAAACATTAGGCAGGCAATTAAACGTGCATAGACATTTTACCCTGGAGGCCAATTACCCATGGCATCCACCAGTGTGCTTGTCACACTTCTGCTCCTCCGCGAAATCTGCTCAAGGGTCTCTGGCAATTCAGTGGTGACACTTCTAGGCCGCCGCGCTCGTTGGCATGGCTGGCGACGCGGCAGCGTAGTGTACGGGTTTTGTGGCTTCAAACTATTACAGAGATTAGGCATGGACGGTCTGCTAATGGAAGGCTAGTAAGACGCCCTGAGCTAATTTCTTTCTTTAAGGGCAACTTGTGGATACAGTAATGCAGCTCTAAAAGTGCCGCGCGATTCGCCACGTGAATCACACGCGAATGAGCGGTGAGCTTTGACCAACTCGACGAAATAAGAAATCCACCGTCTTAACCTGTTTGGTGCTATTAAGCAAAATGTGGTGGGATGGCTCATCAGACGCACCCGGCTATAGCTGACTAGGGAAGGTCGTCAGGTCGAAGTGGCCATTTGTGATGAGATGTAGATCACTAGACGTGGTTTTGGACGCTGATCTTGAATCTGCCTTCAAAATTTGCAAAGCGATTCTCTGAACGGAGTTATGGAGCCGCGTTTACCACGCAACAGGTCATGGGATCGGATCCCTGCTGAGCTTAACTTTTTTGCTTGTTGCGCAAACGTGGCAAAAAGTGATTTTGCCGTCACTACTACTTCAGTTCTCACCTGAGCTTGTCTGAAGAAAAGTTTGCCTCCGTTTATTAGTGCGCTTGGACTCCTTGTAGTGCACTGTAGTCTACAAGGAGTCCAAGCGCAGTAATAAATGGAGGCAAACTTTTCTTCAGACAAGCTCAGGTGAGAACTGAAGTAGTAGTGACGGCAAAATCACTTTTTGCCACGTTTGCGCAACAAGCAAAAAAGTTAAGCTCAGCAGGGATCCGATCCCATGACCTGTTGCGTGGTAAACGCGGCTCCATAACTCCGTTCAGAGAATCGCTTTGCAAATTTTGAAGGCAGATTCAAGATCAGCGTCCAAAACCACGTCTAGTGATCTACATCTCATCACAAATGGCCACTTCGACCTGACGACCTTCCCTAGTGAGAAGTTGCCATGGCGGTATCAGTTTTATAGACGGACAGCAGCTAATTCGCAGAGTATGGCGGGCTGTGGAGTGTGCGCTGACCGAACATTCTATTCGGTCGTGTTCAGAAGAAATAGGGTTCACGTGCAGGAGATGGAGGTCCATTTTATAAGGAATGTCTTGGTCGTTCCAGCGTTTCCCCAGTCCAAACGTCCGCACTCGGACGGGGAGTCGGCGCGTCTCTGATGGAGTCTACCACCTTTGCGCGCTCTTAGGCGCGTCCGATCTCTTTAACCAAAGCCTTTTAAAGTGAATCAAAAAAGCATGAATCCCATCCAGGAAACTTACTGATTCGCCTTCAGGCTTCTGAAGCTGAATTTTTGACGCTCCCGTCAACGATGATGCATAACGATCCAACATTCGCCTGACATAGCTGGCTGCCCGATACATTGACATTTCTTCAAATAGAGTAGAATTTGAGGCACATTGCGCGCTGATAGCGGGGTCAGTTGGACCATTGCACCCCTCTCATTGGTGAGCTCCACTATTTCAGTGAAGTGGAGTGGCGCACCAATGGAAAGCGCATCGGTCCAAGGGACTACGCCCACAACCAACGTGTTATGTGCTTTGGAGGCACTATTCAACTTCTACTACCCCAAAAAGTCAAAAAAATTTTTTTGCTAAAACCTTGCTCACAGAGGTAATTCGGTGTCCTGGTCACGAATATAGCACTCGTTTTTGGCGCTTGGCGCCAATTGGCGGCCAGTTTTGGCAACCGCCACCTTCCCACCAATATCGGTGTAAATTTCCATAGTGTTTTGGCAAAGGTTTCAGTTTTGCTAAATTTGCATAGGTTTATCTGAATGTACATGACACGAATTCGAACTTGTTTCAGCCTTGACGCCATTTGCGCCATTAAGCGCTGTTTTTGCGTCACACCCCTTTTTTATCAAAATCCGTAAACAACCAGCTTAATGGGGTTGTCTGAGCCCCGATCACGAATATGACATTTTTTTCGAATACGCTAAATGGCGTCCAGCGCCATTTGGCGCTTTTCTAAGGCTGAGCCTAGGAGAAAGAGCGATTTCCTACAGGTCAGGCTCAGCCTTAGCAGAGCGCAGATGAACGCAGCGTCTTCCATAAAGCGCCAGCGCCAAAAATGAATGAGATATTCGTGTTCAGGAGGTCAAACTACCCCTGGTACAAGTTTCCAAAGGACTTGGTGACATAGGGTAATTCGGCGCCGGCGTCTGTGGCACGGGCAACCTAGCACTTTCAGGACAGGTGGATGTGATATTCGCGTTCAGGAGGTCGAAGTACCCCTAGAACCCAACTTTCAGCCAAAAAAGTCGATCAAGTTCCGGGCTGTTCCTGGAAAACTGGGGTAGTAATAGTTGAATAGTGCCCTCGTATTTCAATCCGAAAATTTCGTCAGGATTTTTTCAAGAGTGCGAGCAAACATCGAAAATAAGGCGCTAGTAACCATGCAGAGAACATTTAAAGGTGACTTCGTACAAAATCGAGATTATCATCTTCCAAGCGGATTCACACTTGAAATTGTTTCGCCTACCTCAGAGCCTTAGGCTTGAACAGAAGCTGGGCGCTAACATATCTAGGGGTGAGGCACTCTACAGCGCCTTTCCTAACCAAGGCTTGAGCTAAAGAACAGACTGTCAAAGTCGCCGCGTAGGTCAGTTCTGCAGAGCAGGCGTCTCTTAGCGACTCTGACCGTCTGCGCTCCGCACCTGAGCCTTGGCTGTGGGAAAGATGCAAATGCCATCTCCTTCCTGGAATACGTTAGCGCCTAACGTCCCTCTCTCTCTATGAAAGTCGATCTAGACAAGGTCTTTAGATGCCCCCTCCTAGGTTACTAGCACCAAGTTATTATAACTCAATATGAAAGTCACGGAGCAACTCACCAAACACCAGTAGGATGAATAGGAAATGCTTTAGATGCAAAGTAGAACGAAGCAAACTTCCTACTTCTTACAAGATCTAACCGGTGAAAACACGAAAACGCGCGAACTTCAAATCAAGCATTTACTGCATATTCTCGAGTAAATAGTATTTTTTGGAGAGGCAGACTAAATTTATTTACAACACTACAATATTACAGTAGAATAATTCCACCATATTTATTCAGTTAAGCGGAGGTGGTGTAGTGACAAGTGGCGCGCTCATCCACTCGCGCGGTCCCGGGTTCAAATCCCGGGTCGACTCCCGCCCAGGCCAACCAAGCCTTCTACCCCCGGGGACGGTAAATTGGTACCAGATTCGTCTGGGAGCGAACCTGACTTGTACATTGGCGGCCCCCATAAGTCATTGTTGGCCACATCGCATTCAATAATTGAATAAGCCCCTCTGATTGCTTCTTCCACTCGATTGTTGAAGGAACCATCTCTCTGCAGTGTAATAAACAACTTAGCCACTAACTAAATAAATTGCGATTCTGAATGGGAAGTAGAATGAGGCCGCATCCCACAAAGGGATTGATCAACGGCGAAGACTTTAATCCTTTTTATCTCTTGATATATTAGCGGTGGCTAAGTTGTTTATTACACTGCAGAGAGATGGTTCCTTCAACAATCGAGTGGAAGAAGCAATCAGAGGCGCATCCCCTAACGACACACCTCTGAGGATGCCTGTCCTAAACCGCGCTGTGGTTAATAAGTTCACAGGTCGGAACGTACCAGTGGCGTAACACGCTACATATCGTTCGCAAACAAGGTTGTAGGGTAGGTGTCGCTCGAAAGCACGCCTCTCACGTGCTGTTACACTCCAACCGTAACTCAACGCACTACTTTTCTGCAGCCTCTCAGTTTCGGTTTATTCTCTATTACTGAGTGCGGTTTACCTTGCGGCAGGACAGGATCTTGGTATCGCAGCGAGTCTACAACACCCCGCAGCAGACACGATCCCGCAGGAAAGGCGCCAACTTACCATGGAACTTTGAATGGAGACCTGGGTGGATTGATAGAGTCTATAAGGTTATTAACAAATATAGATAGCAAAACTGCAACGTGCATTCCACAAGCAACTTATGAGCAGGTAAAGTTTGTAATGGTGCAGTACGGTGGAGGCTTGGTTGTGAGCTGTGAAGCATAAGCGAGGAATCGCATGCCGCAAATGGAGTCGTGGTGGTTCAGTGGTAAAGGTATTCGCTTCACAGGCACAGCATGACTCGATTCGGCGTATGCGATTCCACGCTTATGCTTCACAGCTCACCACGAAGCCTCCACCCTAACTGCCTCACTACAAACTTTATTGCTTACACCGTCTGCTTGTGGAATGCACAGCTGCACGGCTATCTATATTTGTTAACTAGCCTTATAGACTCATCGGAATTCAGCGGAGGTCTCCATTTAAGTTCTATGGTAAGTTTGGCGACCTTGCAAGTGGTCAGTGACTTCGAAGATAGCACAGGTGGAGTATGAAGACGTTCCAGGGTATCACCACATTGTAGTCTCCTTGACGTGCGCTTTCGAGCGGGTAAGGAGTCACGCGACCACAGCTGCGCATCCATTGTCCTCTTACATGGAAAGGACCGTCCATCGAGGTGGGTGTACAATTAGTGCTTGAAATCTGGGCATGAGTCTTGCTTACTACGAAACGGATTGACGTCTCCATGTTTATTTATGTTTATTTATGGGGAGCTTTACACACAGGGATATTGTAGAAAGCTTTTCTCAGCCTGTCAGTCAATGTCAATAAGCCGTATGTGTTGTACCGATTTAAAAACTGCTGTCAGTACTATTCACTCGCTCCTCCCGCTTCGTTGAACTCAAACATCCCGCCTTATCAGTGATATGATCTTCATCACTGCCCTTTGCAAGCGATTTAGTGTGTAAGGGGTTCTAGACTGTAGAATAAATACCGTTGTGTAAATGGTAAGAATCTGTTCGGCGCTCATCACACTTGGCAAGGGGTAGAAGGGCAAGTGCTGGTCACCATGCAAAATCCTGTAAACAGTAACCATGTACGGAGGAGGGGGGGGGGGGGCAAAAAGTCACTTTTCTTTCTTGACTTTCGAGGCGCTATAAGTTACACGATTAAATTCTGATCGGACATTTCTACCACCATATTCAACAGCATATTAAATACTATTATGATACTCCGCCACAGCCTTCTGGAGGAGCGCCATCGAGAGATTCTGCCACGCGACCGTGAGTGGTGCCTGAGTTCAGCGAGATAGTTGATTTCTCCGCCACTGTAGACCACCCTATTGAACTCCGCCCGAACCGGGTAATTGAGGGGATTCAGGTCAGGTGACCTACTTGGATATTCCATCTTCTTTAGGTACTCAACGCCCTTCCATTCCAAGTAGGCGAGAGTTTTTCCAACGCCCTTCGATTCCATGTGGTGGCACCCAATCCTGTAGCAGTACAAAGTTTCCAAGATGGTACGGGCGACGACATGTAGGGAGGATATTCTTCTCGAGTTGCTCGATGTAACCGCCAGCGCTCACCTTCAGTCCGGGGTCCACGAAGAAAATATCGGTCTTTCCATTCCAGGTACGTCCGGTCCATACCATCAACCCGCGCCTTGGCGACTGCGGTGAAGATGATGTCCTAGACGACGTTGTCGGAGCTGCTCGATGTTGGAGGTCATCCAGATCGAGAGTACTGGTCTCCAGGTAGCTATCCATGGGTGACTCCATACTAGAAGTTTCGCAGCTGTTCGAAGGTCTTCTCCAGTCAGGCTGCGACTGGAGATGACTTCATATTTTGGTGTACATGAAGGTGGGCGAGAGCCAGCTCCTGCTTATCGAGGAACATCTTGGGTATCTTCCGCCCTGGTACTCGTATCCACGTCTTCTCTCTGGGCTGCGAAAACTTTGCTGATATGTGACTCGATCGAAGTGACTTTTTTGCCCTCCCCCCACCTGTATATACACCACAACTTATAAGCAACCCTTTTTATCACCTGCCAAGCGCCGTTTAAACTCCTGTCAAATTTGTCAAAATGGTCAAACCTGAAAGCTAGTCCTAACCTTCACATCGGCTAAAATTGAAAATTGACAATCAGAGTAAATGCCTTCCAACTCTGAAGGGTAATCTCAATGATACACTGATAGAGAGCCCATATATTCGTACACCAGTTTGGCTGACGCGCACTTCTGTTCGTCAGCTAAGTGGTGATTACTGACAGGATTTCTATCTGTGCTACCATTAACACTTGAACTTGAGATTCCAGTGTGTCGAAATACGGAACATTGCATCATATTTCACCTTTCCAATGAACATTTGCCTATGTCGGATGCTACCACATTTCTAAAAACACCCACCATTCGTGAAGGACAGTTAAGCGGTTTGAGAGTTTCGGCTGGTAAGTGTTGTGAAGCTCACATTCTTCTAGCGCTCCGTTGAGCCGCTCTGCACGTATCCGTCTGCTGCGAGGCTCTTATCATTCCTCACTGACAACATCTTTAGGCCTTTACCTTTGGATGAAACTCTAGA